AAAAATTCATTATATGAACATATATTTCTAAAGCGTGTTATAAAATATCGCCTTACAAGTATTGTATATATATTAAAATTTTCCAAAAATATAATGACAAGATAATCTTTTCAGTTATGTAAAGACTGCATCCGAAAGAACGCGCCATTTAGGATACAAATATCATACGCATAATAAAGAAATGAATTTTGGCATGGAAATTTTTATCCATATATTTGGTAAACAAAGGAATGGTATGAATAAAATATATGGGATCAAACATGTTTATATTGGGTGGCCGAAACTTATCTAGTCATTACGCTAAGAGTAAGATAAATACATTATGCATATCTACGTGTATACATATATGTACGTATGTAAATACGTATATATGCAGATATAGATACAAATATAAATATGAATATAAATATAAATATAAATGCAAATATAAATATGAATACAAATATAAATATATATATTTATATATATACATAAATGTATATATATATAATATATATATATATAAATATTAAAATAAAATATGCAACCACCGCGAACCATCCTGACTGAATATGTCTAGCCATATTTTAATAATAATATTCGCAAAGCAACGTTATTGTCGATCTGACCTTGCGTGATTAATGAAGAAACATTTTTGAAACGATAAAATTAATTAAGTTTTTATTAGTTGCTTTACTTTAAACGTACTTTACGTTAAAAAGTTGTGAAAAATATTCGTAAGGAAAATTTCTTTAAGTACCAATGCAAAATATTATAATTCATGCCACCACGCGTGTAAAATGTATAAAATACATCATATTGAAAATGTTACCATTCTGTTGATTACAGAATGTATTTGACATACATAATTACTAAAAGAAGAAATTTAAAAAGAATTATATCAACGTAAAGAGCTATTACAAATTAGAAAGTTAAACTACACGGGGTTTCTTATGACTGCTTGTACAATACATATATATATATATATATATGTGTGTGTACGTGAAACCGCAAAAATTCGCGATTAAATAGAGTTACTGCTACTCTAACATGTACGTGAAAGTAATCACTTCTCGACAAATTGTATAAAGGGCTTCGATATATCAAATTAAACAATTCATATGAGAAAAAAAAGAAAAAAACAAGAATTCCAAGAGCTTGTCTTTTCATTATGCTTTTCACTTTCTCCAATCATCATCAAAATAAATTTCATCGATTTGAAATGATTGCTATACAAACAAATTCAAATACAATGTACTCCAATGTGCTCACACTGTAGCAAATAGTAAACGTTCATGTGTTCGAGAAACAAACGGTTTATAAAGAATTAAAAAAATATTTTTAATTCGCAATAAATAATGTTCGAAAATTAACTTATATCGTTGAAAAAGGAGAAAAAAAAACGTGTTAGGAAAACGGAAGTTTATAGATTTTATATAAAATTGAAAATTAAAATTTGTCGAAAAAATACCCGTAAGCAAAAACAAAAACAACGAGTTTTTATTTACCAGAGTATAGTTAGATCTTATCGGCTAATATAAAAGGAGTCATAGTTGATAATTATATGTGAAAGGCGTAAATTCTAAAATCTACGAAATCATGTTTCTGAATTTCGATCCACTATTTGACGTAATTAGATTTTACCGTATTCCTTGCATCGGCAAAGAAAAGATGAGCCCGATACAACAATTTCATCTAAATTAAATGAGTATATATTTAAATATTAACGTTTGAGTTACTGATGGTTAATGTTAAAAAAAGGAAAAAGAAATGTATAAGTTGTCATAAAAATAGCCAATTTAAGTTAAAATAAATATATTTTTTATGTTAATATTAATTTTAAGGGAAGTTTTATATAGAAAAGAGAAAGTTAATTTTCAGAAAGGAAATGTTAATTTAATAGTGATCACTGATCGGGCAATGTCAGTCCGAATGACAGACGCAACATTATCTTAAATAAATCATATTGTTAAGATAATCATTTGTAATGTCGATAAAATATACGTTATACATAAATAGAGCTTGCGCTGTAGCTTCATCAGTCATGAAACGTGCTACAAAATATTATGACTGTCTTTATCAATGTTTGTGAATGTATTATAAGTCATAAATTATAAGTGAGCTATTGAATGTGTATATGGTAATATTATACTATTCTATATTAAGATAATAAAATGTAATTTTGAATTCAATCGTAAATGTACCTTAATCGTTACGTTATGTGTTATGTGTTTCTTATTATTATTCATTTCATATCACATCAATTAAAAAGAGTACTGAATTTAGACATTTAGTTGGAAAGACACAAGATATACTAGATTTTTCCGAAAAATAATAATAGCATATTCTATGAATAAAAATTTAAATAAATGTATCATGTATTATGTGTACATTTATTGAAAAATTATAACAAATATGAAATAGCAATCAATTAATTTTTTTTTTAAATATAATCTCAATAACTGATAAGTTAAAAAAATATAATCCCAGATAAATCATTAAATATTATGCCATTTTATGGGAGTTCTTGTTAAAGGAAAGAAAAACTTGATCTAATAGGAATTGATATGCTTCAAAAATTAGAGTAAAGAATTACAAAAGTATTCAACGAGAAATTCACAATGTGATGAATTCAATTTTTGCATTTCGACACTTTGAAATGATACTAACATAAATATAGGTATACATTTTACCAATCTGTTTTTATCCTATACAAAAAATTGTCATATTAGTAAATTTTTGAATTAAAATTTGTGAATTTTTAAACGGAAGAATAAACAGCTATCATTTTACGGAAAGAACTTACATTATCTATATTATAATCTCTTTTTTATACTTTTTTATATCTTATATTTATTTTTCTAATAAATAATTTTTGCCTACAATATATATTGTAGAAAATATATATAAAATGTTTTCGATACTACGTTTTGAGAATTACATATGACAATTTTTTCACTACAGGATTATTATTATTTATTATTTTATATATTATTATTTTTATGATAATTTTACGATAATTTTATGGTAATATTATTTTTTTGATAATTCTTCTGATTGTATTACAACTGTAAGTTGTTATAAAAAAGATAATGATATATATATTAGATTTAAGTATATGTATGTTATTATTTCTTTAATTACTAAAACTGCAGAAAGTTGTCTGATTTCATGAGAGTAATTTAATGACATATCTTTTGTTCATAACGTGCAATCTAGAAGGTAAAAAATAATTTAATTTAATTACACTGATATGCTTTTATTTATTGAAACGATGACAATCCGAATTTTAGAATTTTAAAACAATATACAAACAAATAAAACAAACTTTATCATTTTGAGATATACTAATAAATTAAGGCTTAATTCGAATTTATGTATATAAAAAAAATATCTATTTTTGTGAAATTTTTATAGGAAAAAATGTTACACTTTTGAATAGTATTCTCATGAAGCAGATGTTTTAGAATATAAAATTCCATGGAAACAAGTTATTTTAGAACATTTAATTAAAAGCAATTTTTATATTCGAGCATTATTCATTGAATAGTGTTCAGTGTCAGTGACATATTTGCTATAAATATTGAGAATTTTTTTAATTTTCATGAACAAATTATCTTTTCCTTTGACAGAAATATTTTTATTTTTATATTTTATAAGTTCTATTCTGTCTGAAACTTTTATTTTTAAAAATATTTATTTATTTGTTCTCATCGAAACTTGTAATGTAAGAACATTTTACGAAAAAATTCTGATTCATATTTCAAATAAAACCTAATCTAAAAGTGCTGTAACTTTTTCGATCCCTGGTTGTAACCCCAGAACATTCCGCTTCTTTCAATAATTTTTCAACTTGAGTTCTTCATATAACACTGGGATTATTTTATTTGCTAAATATTTTCGTATAGAAATTTAAAGCTCAAAATTCTATATCCTCCACTATAGGCAACAATGATTGATTGTCTTTACATATTATTTCTCTGATAATTAAAAAATGGAACTCTCGACCTTTCTATCATTACGATCTACTGCATAACTGCTTACATTCTTTAAAAAAAAAAAAACAATTATCGAAAGTTCATAAAATATTTTTATCGAATATTTGAGATGCACATGAATTAAATACATATATTCTTTATATACGCTATAAATGATTCTTTATTCATTGATTTTATACTTTTTTTTATTGAAGTTTCGAGAATTTTGAATCACGAAAAAAGTATAAAATTTTGAATTTTCAAAACTCGAAACTTTCTTAAATTTTGAGAATTTTAAGATTTCAATGTTTCGAGTAATCTAGCCCTAATTATATTATAGCTAATAAATATTGTATATACTTTGTATGTAGAAGTGACAAAAATTTGTTAGCTGCTTTCATTAATCCTTTCCTTGTATATTTTTCTTCCAATAGTGCATTAAACAAAAATCGAAAAAAATACGAAGAATTTAAATTACTTAAAAATAACGTAATGATAATACACGGTAAGTATTTTTCGTAAAAAGTTTTAATAAATGCTGTATTTTGTATTGCTATTATATATTGCTGTTGACTTTATATAAAATATATATTGACTTCGATAAAACCCAACGTATGGCATAAAGTATAAATTATTAAGTTATAAAAGAAAATAAAGAGTAATTTTTTTCAATTGCATTAATATATAATAGAAATTTATAATAATACAATTTGTTTAATTTGTAAGCACATTTTTGAAAAAAGATTTTCTAATTGATAAATTTAAATTAAATATTATATAGATTACTTAACTAATTTGCATTATTCTATGAACAAAATCCGTTAAATTTATTGAAAATTTTAATAAAGATGGATCACTTACTTTTTTGATTATGTTAAATCAATATTTATAAGATATTTATTCAAATTAGAGCTTTAACTAATGTTTGTACTACAAACATTGAATAGTATGTTTTAAGAAATACAATATCAAGGAAAATTGTGCGCAAATGAGTTTTAGCTGGTCTTTGAAATATATTGTCAATGGAATAACGTAAAATCATATTTTCTGGACAGCGCTTGTGAAATACAATATGTCTACCTCTCAGGAAAAGAGTCTGTTAATTAATAACATTTTGAATTCCTTATATAAAGTTATTGACTACATAAAAGTTTCTCTTTAATTTAGTGATTTTCGTGAATTATTTGATATGTAAAATGAGTTTTTGCGTGAAAAAAACAGGTGGTAGGATGTGGCATGAAGCACGGAAACAGGAAAAGAAAATTCGTGGAATGTTGGTAGATTATCGTCGTAGAGCTGAACGTCGACGAGACTATTATGAAAAAATTGTAAGAGTAACCGAATGAAATAGTAATTTTTATACAAGCTCCGTTGAATTTACTAAACTTAACGTTATTCTTTTTGTAATGAGATCTAAACTTTTATTTTCCTCTTTTAATTGTTAACCTTAAATTTATTTCCAAATCTATCATAGTTCCTATAATTATTAATAGTAATTTAAAAACGTCAATATCTCTGACTACATTTCATTCCTCTTTTATCACATAGTCATATGCATAATATATGTCATATATGAAATAAATACATATATATATCGTTCATACAATAAATATAGACATATCTTTTCATTTATATCTTTTATTTTATCGTGTGTACATTGTATTTAAATTTTCTTTAGAAATCAGATCCTACACAATTTCTGCAACTTCATGGGAGACCTTGTAAGATACATTTAGATCCAGCGATTGCTACAGCTGGTGATAGTCCTGCGAATATGTAAGTCCATATGTATTTTAGTATTATTAACTGTAATACATCTATTGTGAGAACATTGTTTCATTTTATAAATAAATTGTAACATTTTCTTTTTAAAAAAAGACAAGAATATTAATATTATAAAATTATATTTATTATTAATAAATATAAGTTATTATTTATTGTAATTAAAATTATCATTTGTATATTTTTACAAGCTAGTATTATTATGTATAATTATGATATGTCATAACAAAAAATTTTTTATTCTGACTTTAGAAATTTTAAAGACTACCATGAAATTGAAATAATATTTTCATATCATATATAAATATATAAATCATGAAAAGTATTTTATGTATTAAATAAGAATCTAATGTTAGAATATTTGAAAATTTAATTATAACAAGATATAAATAAGTAATTTCGTGTGTAATATGTGTCACATTGATAGGATGCCTTGGCAAGGAAATGAAGACAATCTTATTGACCGATTTGATGTTCGCGCTCATCTTGATTGGATACCAGAAGCACCAGATTCTATTGATGTAGATATTGCTCTCACTAGTGAAGACAGACATATCAATTATGAACGTTATCGTATTATTGTTCAAAACGAATTTTTAGGAGGTGGGAAATTGCATTCATTTAAAATCCACATTTTATTTTTATTTAAAATTATTTGATAAATAATAGTCTTCAATGTAGTAACGGAAGAAAAATTTTTACACCAAATACATTTGGAAGAACAATTTGGTTCATCAACAAAATTAGATTCTGCTAGGGATAAGAAGAAGTCTTGTAATAATGTTGCAATTGGATATAATTATGAAACAGAAGAACCAATACCTGAAACAGTAAAATCATTGGATACTGTTATATCCGATGAAAAAGCAGATGATGAAGATAGTGATATAGATCTAGGTATAACTTTAAAAATTATAAAATTATGTTTTATAAATAATTATTATGTTTTATGTTCTATATATTATAAATTAGGTAAATTATTAAATTAGATATTTAATTTTTCTTTTTAGACATTTGTGTAGATGTATCTCAAATAGAGCCATCACAAGCACATGAAATGAATTTAGTAGCTCAGAAATATGGGCTTTTAGGTGCTGATTATTTCAGTTTTTTGACACAAGATTTTGAAGAAGCTGAAACATTAAGACAAGCACGTAAACAAGAAGAAGAGAAAGCAATGTATTCGGTAAAATATTTCTTTATGTAATCCTATATTTTATCTTGCATGTGTTTGTACAGGGTGTTCTATTTATCTCGCAAAATAGGAATATCTTGCAAAAGATTAAAGTTGTGAAAAAAAAAATGTTGCTACAAAAGTTGTTTACTATAAAGAGAGACATTATCCGGTATTAATATCGGATATACCTAATGATGGTTTTTTTTTATAAATGGAGTGATCAAAGAAAATTTAAAGTCAAGTTGTTTTTTTTTTAAATAGAATCTTATGTCTTAATGCAGTAATTGATTCTGAACATTCTGTATAAAAAAGTATTAATCTATTTATATTGAAAAACCATTGATTTACGAGATATTTTTACTTTAGTTTTGTGTTTGTTCCCTGAAAGACAAGGATAACATAAGCATGAAAATATTGGTGGTGTTTTTCCTTGTCTTTCATATAATAGGTCTCATAAAATTAAAGAGAAAATATCTATCAAATTAATGGCTTTTTCGATAGAAAATATTTTTTTTTTTTATAGAGAATGTTCAGATAAATCGATTGCTGCATCCAAAATTATATAATTCCATTTAAAAAAATCATCTTTACCTTGAGTTCTCTTTCACCACCTCACTTACAGATACCATTAATACAACTTTATTTATAAGGATAATTTTTTTAAAAAAGACAAAAAGAATATTTTTTTATAACTTCAGCCTCTTACAAGATATTTATGTTTTGCAAAATAAACAGAACTATATATATATATATATATTTCTTTATGATATAACAATTAAAGTTATTAATTATGTATTACTGGTTATTACATTTAATTAATTCATATCACAGGGTAGGAGATCACGCAGAGAAAGACGTGCATTTAGAGAAAAAAAAATGATTGGTCGAGTTATGAGTCCACCTAGGTAGTTACTTTTACACTATTTTGAAAATCTTTCCTTAGTTACCTGATTACTAGTTAAGATTAAAGTTATTAATTAAATATTTAATTAGTTAAAAAATCTTTTCTATATTTTATATCTATAATTTTGCATTTTATTTATTAGTTATGCAGCAAGAGAAAGTCCTGAATATAATCCCTATAGAAAATCTTCATCCAAATCTCGTTCAAGATCTGTTTCTCCTGTAAACACTGGACAAATAACTTATATTACAAGTTTTGGTGGGGAAGAGGAGACTCATGGATGTTCATCTCATGTCACTTCTTCCAATTCAAGAAAAGTCAATTATTCTCATCTTAGACGTAGAAGGTCGGACAGCCCAACACTTAATGAACGAACAATTAATAGAAAACTTTCAAAATCCAGATCTAGGAGTTGCTCTCGATCTGTCAATAAATCCAAATCATACAGAAACCATGATAGAAAACGTAGTACATCCAGGACCAAGTAAGTTCATCAGTATTTAGAATCATTTAAAGAGTTATCTGAATAATTCTTTTAACACTTTCATAAATAAGATTGTAATGATTACAGTTAATTATTATTAACATTTACAATTACAATTTATTATTATTTACACTTAAACTAAAACGTTTATGATGATAAATTTTCTTTTTTTTAACACTTATAAATAAAAATTAAAATTAAAATTACATATTTGAATTAATACAAATATTTATACCTTATAACCGTAATAATATTAAATGTCCAAGAAAGAATTAATTTTGGAAATAAGGAAGACTGAAATAAAATTTATTTTGTTCTAAAATTACACAATGTAGATAAAATTTTTTTCAGGTGGGAATATTTAGAAGATTTCAATATCATCTTCATCGTTTTAAATGTATTTTTGAACATTTATAATTGTATTGTTTTCAAAACAGTTTCAATGAATTGTCATATGGTCATTCAAGGTTATGAACATAATAATGAATGAAAAATGAAAATTAATTATGAAACTTCTGAAACAGAATATTTTTAGCTTTATTAACAGAATAGAACCTAAATAAACTTCCTCTAAATGCTTAAGAATAATAATAATTAAAAATAATTTGCTACAACAGATGTTTAAAAGGTTGACCAGCCACAAAAAGATTTTAAATAACTTCGAATGATTATGATTATGATTATTAAAATTCTACATCTTTCGTTCAAAATGCATACGTATAAGGCTTCGTTAAAAAATACATAGCTCCATTTAAAAAATGACCTTTAGATCATCTAAATGTAATTATCTGCTAAATATATTTATCTGAAAAAAAATTTTCTCTAATAATAGTCCTCTTAGAACTGAACTTTTTCAACATTTCTGTTTATTTTCAAATGGCTTGTTTTAGATAATCTTATATAATGTATATAATCTTATTTAGATGATCTTAAATAATTGTATTTATGCTGCTAATTGATGTATAATTTTTAGATCAAGAAGAACTCGTTCAAGACATAGAAAAATCACAAGATCAAGAACAAGAAGTCGTTCAAGGCGATCACGAACTCGAAGTGAATCTAGATCTCGATATAGAAGTTTTACTAGATCTCGTTCACGTACTATTTCAAGGTCAAAAACAAGATCTAGATCTCGATCGCGTCCAAAAAGATCTAGAAGTTCATCTTCAAGTAGTATATCTAGATCAAAATCAAGATCGAGATCAAGATCTAAATCACATAACAGAAGTCATTCGAGAGACAGTTATCGTCGAAGACATTATTCTCCGTCGAAGTCAATATCTAAATCTCGATCGAGAACTAAATCTCAATCTAGATCTAGATCAAGATCAAGATCAAGATCAAGAAGCCAATCCAGATGCAAACGATCTCGTAGTACCGAAAATAAAGTACCAGCACTGCCAAGGTATATATATATATTTTAATAAATTAAAAGTAAAATTTGTAATAAATGTATTTATATTATTTCTTAATTGCGACATTAGATATTATGGCCGACGTGGAAAATCATCAAGCTTGGAATTAGAATTATCAGATAACGAAGAAAAAGTTTCTCAGGCAACACCAAAACCAACGGTTACTAATATCACGAACATGTAAATTTAATATTAAGTACACATGTTATGCTACAATATAAAAAAATTTTTTTAATTAACTTAAACATTTCAGGAACAAGCCAAAAGCAGGGTTAAGTACAAATTCTGGTGGCGGACACAAAGTCAGTAAGAACCATAACGCTTACTTAGTCACTTAAAGACAGAGAATAAAAGACAGTATATACTCTTTATATAATTATCCTTAGACGAAGAAATTCAACAAGTGCTATTTGTTTTCATTCTGTTGGATAATATAAGGCGTTTGAATTATATTTTTTATATTTCACGTTTAATAAATTACGAGTTCTTATTAGATATTTAATAATAGAAAGCCACAAAGAATTTGAAAATTTTAAATCTGTATTTTACGTTAAGTATTTGTTATAATAGCTAAATTTAATGAAGTTTCTCAGAAATAATTTCTGCGAAATTTTTATTATTTTTATTATCAGAATGGAAACATTTTTTGGTGGTTTAATGTATTTGTTTCGTAGACATAGTAATATGAAAAAGTCTTCAATATAGGATATATTTGATATTAATTTTAATATGTAGTAGCATAATAATTTTTCTAAAATTTTAATATAAATTTTATCACGTAACGCAGCTTAAAATTGCTTAGAAAATACCTTATATTATTCAATAGTATATACATACGTATAAAATTTTTCAAAATATTAATTTAATTTATTGTATTATTTGCACCAAAAAGTTTAAATACTTTAAAAATGAAGAAATCTGTAATATTAAAAAACAATACAATTAAAAATTTGTATTAAAATTTTAGAAATATTTTATACATTGCTCTACATATTAAAACAAAATTTTAGTAATTGGGAACAGACTTTTAAGAGTTACATTTTTCAGTCACTGAAAATCACACCCCAGGAACGACTTAAGAAGAAAATGCAAGCTTTATTAAACAGGCAATGTAAGTAAAATATATCAGAATTTTTAATAAATGTTATTTTAGTATAACTATGTTTATTATAATTATATTTATATGTTAGATAAAGCTGATAAGAAAGCCGAGCAACTTAGACTCGAGAAAATGGAACAGCAAAGGCAAGATAGAGAAGATGAAATTCGAGAAATGTCTTTGAAGTTACGTAGAAAGTATGTTATTATTTTTATTTAATTTAATATTACTTATGTTTTATATTCTTTTTATTTAATAATTTTTTTTTAGACAAAGGGAACGAAGACATCGTTATGAAGGTCATAGTTCTGATTCACATTCCTCCGTATCACGTACACCAAGCCCTGGTCGTAGTCCACGAATTGTTCGTCGAGAAAGAAAAGATAGAGATATAAGAGATTTCGAAAATGATCGTGAGCGAGAAAGAGATAGAGAACGAGACAGACGTGATGATCGAGAAAAGTTTAGAAGTGAATCTCGTAGAAGATACAGAGATTCTCCACTTCGTTCTTTAAGTCCAAGAAATAGCCGGTAAAATTGCAAATGATCTTTAAAATTAAATTAAAAAATTAAGAAGATTTTTTAAATGTTTCGTTATTTTCTATTTTCTTTTTTCTTTTTTCTTTTTTTTTTTTTTT